GGCAGTGGGCGCAGCCAATTGTGGTTGGCAAGCTCCAGGATGTTGAATGTACCCACATACCAGGAGTGACACATAAACACAAATATTCGTCAGCTGAGTGTATGCTGACGTAAACAGCGAAAAATCCACATTGTGAATTGGTCTATATCATGAGTGTAATCCAAAGGCAACGTCAGGGTCCGTGGTTCGGGCCTCTGACAGGTCGATACCTTTGCTGATATCGGGCCCATGACCTGCTCAGTGTTCTGGACTATGTTGATGTTTTTGTGGACGTCAATGATCGTATTTAACACTTAGCGATGTCTAGATATATGACGATAGGCCGATGGTTTTGCAGTAGCCCTCATTGTGTCGTAGCCCCTGATAACACCTGCTCGTAATTATAATGTCCCTGACCGTTCGAAGGCCCCTGACCGTGATTGTCGTTTGGAGCCTTGTCGTTTGGAGTCCCCGACCGCAGCGAGTGCCTGCCTTGGCGATGTCCATGCTGGGCCTATGACCGTTTCTGGGTCCCGTCCATACTGATGCCCCTGACACTGCTGATGTTGTGGCCGTGAGGGTCCATGTTGGGTCAATGGCCATGTTGAACCCCTGACTGCGTCAGGCGGCGCAGTGACAGTGATGACCATGTCAATGTCGGAGCCCAGATTGTGTTGGGCCACTGAACATTTCGTCCCAGTTGGTCGGACCCTTCGCCGTGTCGGAGCCCTGATAAGTTTGGGTGTCTATGGCTGTGACAGGGTCCTTGACTGTGCTGGGTCCTGACGCTATGACGCATGACCGTGTCGGAACTCCTGGCCTTGCTGGCCTCTCAGCATGACGGGGCCCCTGGCCGTTAATGCTTTAGCTGTCTCAGAACGCCTGGCCGCTGAGCACGTGAACGTATCAGGCCCCCTAACTGTGTAGAGACCCTGAACGTGTCTAGGCTTCAGCCTGTGCCATGGCACTGACAACGGTGGTCTGGGCCGAGCCCTATAGCGGTGTCGAGGCTTCTAATCATGTTGGGCCGATGGCTGTTTCAGCCCCTGATTGTGTTGGGCGGTAGCTGTTTCAGTCCCTGATTGTGTTGGGCGGTAGCAGTTTAAAGGCCCTTGGCCGTGTCTGTTTTTTTAGGCTACAAGACATTTGCCATGTCGGTGTGTTTTGTCTCCTGTATACAGCACTCGCAGCCCACA